CCAGCTCCCCGGCCTGCGGGCGAGGGCACGGTGCCCACGGGCCCTGGCGCTGAGGCCAGGCCTGGTGGGGCTCCCTGGCACTGCCAAGGAGCACGCAGCGTGCTCAGGGGCAGACGCGCACGCGGAGGTGCACACAAGGACCCCCTCACCCACGTGCACAGGCGCAGCGTGGAGGGCTGCGCACACCCAGACCCGGACCACGTGCCACGTGTGGGCACTGTAATGCACACGCCAGCACATGCAGATGCACAGGCATGCACTGGGCACGCGCGGGCACTCAAGTCACATGCAGGGATGTGCACACGCACACACACACCAGCCACACAGGGGCACATCCGTGTGCAAACACGACACAGACATGTGCATGGACACAAGATGCCCACAGAGACACTGGCAAACACACCTCTGCGTGCAACCTCCCCCCTTATACGCGCTCACACGCGTGCCCGAACACCCGCACGTTCAGGTGCCCACATAGGCACGTGTCCTCCCACAGCCACGTGCAGGCGGGCAGGGACGCCGCCTCCCACCCGCGCTGCATCCGCGCACTGCCCATGGGGAGAGCACCCCGCTCCTCTCCCAGGTGTGCCTCGGCAGGGCCCAGCTCGTCGTGGCACTTAGAAGGAGAGGCTGTGGCATGCCCGGGTGCCTCGTGTGCCTCCCTGGCACGTGGGCGCATGGTGGCACTGGGCCGCCTGCCCCGCGTGGCCGGACTCACCATGGTGAGGGTCATCCGGTCAATCTCGTGCTTGTCCTTCGTCTTGTGCTGCCGGAAGGGGCTGTGCCTGCAGCCAGCAGGGGAGAGGGGAGGTCAGTGGAGCGCGGGCCCCCTGGCCACCCCGCGCCCTGCTGTGCCCGTACACTCACCCCCGGAGCAGTTTGAAGAGCATGCAGCCCAGCGAGAACCAGTCGGCACTGCTGTCGTATGCCACTCCTTTCTGCAGCACCTCCGGAGCCATGTAGCCGTGGGTGCCCCTATGGGGACACAGAGAGGGGTCAGGGACCATGCCAGCCAGGCAGGGCTGGGCAGGGCGAGCCAGGGGCACACTTACACACTGGCATGGGGCTTCTTCTTGGAGAAATCGCAGGCCAGGCCCAGGTCTGAGATACGGACGTGCCCGAATTCATCCAGAAGGATGTTTGCTGGCTGCCGAGACACCGTGCCATCCCTGAGCCCAAGCACTGCCCAAGGGAACGGTGGGGCGGAAAGGCAGGAGGTGCCCATGTGGGTTGAGCTGGAGTGCTGGTGTTCTGTGGGATTTGGGGGTGCCCATAGGACTGAAGCGTCTGTGGGACCAGAACTGCCTGCAGCATCTATGAGTGCCCATGACGTCTCAGGACACACCTATAGAATCTAGGGGTGCCCATAGGGCCTGGGCAGTTCCTGTAGGTTCGGGAATGCCCACGGTTTTGGGAGTTACTTGCAAGTTCTGGGAATACCTAGGGCCCCTGGGAATGCCCATGGGGTTTGGGAAGTGCCAATAGGCGCTGAGGGATCCTGCAGGGTCTGTGGGTGCCCACAGGATCTGGGGCTGTCAGTAGGGCCTGGGGTTGCCTGCAGGGTCTGTGATTGGTCGCAGGACCTGAGATTACCCACAGGTCCATGTGTGCCAAGAGGGTGCGTGGGTACCCACAGGGTGCCTGGGAGATTCCCACAGAGTCCATGGGTGCCCATGGGGTCACCTTGAGATCACGATAGACCACGAAGCGGCTGTGCATGTGCTCCAAGCCCAAGATGATCTCCGCCGCATAGAACCGCATCTCCGCCTCTGAGAAGACGCCGTGCTGAGACAGGTGATAGTGCAGGTCCCCCCCTGCAGCGAGAGGAACCCAGCTGTCACCCCCGCGCTGCCCACCATGACCTGGGCATGGTGCAGGCAGGGGGCTGTGGACTTGGGGATCAGGTTGGCCACAGCCTTTGGGAGCAGGGCAGTGTCTGGACCAGAGCAGGGCATCTCTCACCATTCATGAGGTCGAGGATGAAGCTGAGCTTATCGGGCGTGTGGAAGGCGTACGACATGCACACGATGAACGGGCAGTCCTGACACAGGAGAGACGGAGTCACACCGTGCCCAGTGACACCCTCCTGTCACCAGCAGATCCTCCCGACACCACGGCCACACCACCGCCGTCCCCGCAGAGCCCCGCGCCTCACCCCGGTGCTGACGAGGGATAACATGATTCGCTCGTTCAGGGCCAGGGTTTCGCCCTGTTTCATCTTGATGCGTTTCTTGTCCAAGCACTTCATGGCGTACCTGGGGGCAAAGAGTCCCTGCAGGGTCCTGCTGCTGCCTGCCCATGGCCATGGTGCCTTGGGCTGTCGCTGCCCACACACCCATGAAGCCACGTCCCTGCGCTGCCCCGCACCACGGTGCTGTGTCCCTCCTCCACCATGACATGACATGACACGTCCCTCTCCTGCACATGGCTCCATGCCCACATCCCTCCTTTGCCTGCAGCTGCAGGGCCACCTCCTTCCCCAGCTTACAGCCACATTACTCTATTCCTTTGCCTCATGCAGCTGTAGCTCCACGACCCACCTCCAGCTGCAGGGCCACATTCCTGCAGTGCCCACTGCCACGACACCGTGCCCTGCCCCTACCCACTGCCACGCCACTGTGTCCCTCCACTAGGGCAGCCACGGCCACATCACCGAAACCAGCTACCACCCACAGTGCCCGTGACGTCACCGTATCCCCCAGGGAGCCGTAGCCATGGTGACACTTCCATATCCCCCTGCCACCTGCTGCCATGGCAACACTGCTGCATCCCCCTGCTTTGTGGCTGCCTGGGGGACCGCGGCCCTTCTCACCGGGGAATCCCTCCATCCTCCCCCCGCAACAACACGTCCCCCCCATTACATTTTGCCCGTATCTGCTTTCCGGCAGCCGTAGACCTCTCCGAAGCCGCCACGGCCAATGATGCGGTGAACGCTGAAGTCATTCATGGTCAGCTGGAGAAAGAGAGAGAGAAGCAGGTGTCACCCTGGACGCCTGGGTCCCCTGGCATCCACAGTGCCGGGGAAGCTGTATACGCGGTGGTAGACGGCACAGAACACGGAGGAACATGGAGACCGCTCTGCACATCCCCACGAGCACAGGCTGATGTAGAAGTGCAACTTGCACCCATGCGGGTGAGAGAACACCAGGTTGTGTATGAGGGCACCTATGCAAGGTGACAGAGTGTCTGCACAAGGCTGCCCTGCCAGGATGGGCCATGCGTGGTAGCCTTGACCGTGGGTCTGTGTCCTTCTGGCGGACTCGGACCCATGCCTTCTGCCCTGAGAGTGTCCCTAGAGATGCCCTGGAGGTGCCCCTGGCCCTTGCTCACATGGATGTTCAGCTCCACGTTCTTCCACTGGCAGAACCGCGTGAACTTGTCACTGCAACGAAGCAGAGAGGGCAAAAGTGAAGCACTCGCAGAGACCCCCAAGACCCATCTGGCGACAGAGGGAATTTGGGACATGTCTGGAGACAGAGACCCCCACCCCTCACTCAGGACCTCCATCCGGGGACAGAGAGATCTCTGGGGATGAGGAGACCACCTTGAATCCCTAGTTCAGACTCTGGAAAGTCCTATGTAAGTAGGTGTCTTCCACCACCTCCCTGGCTCCCCAGGTGCATTAAGATACCCCAGGGCCAGCAGGCCTGTCCCCCCATCTCACCTCTCGATGAATTTCTGGAAGATGCCCCCACGCAGGTTCTGGCAGATCTCCTCAATGTAGGGCTGGGGGAACACAGAGATCAGGGCTGGGTCCTCACTGCCACCGAGGGTCACCCGTAGCCCTTGAGTCCCCAGCCATTGCTGGCTAATCCTCTGCCTTAAGGATTTCCCGTATCCAGTACCCCAATGACCATCACTATCCCTGGAGACTCCTCGCCAATGCCAGGCCCCTGGGCCCCACTGTCAGCCCATGGCACTTGTATCTCTGAGGTCTCAACCACTGCTCACTGAGGACTCCCGCAGCCTTGGGTCCCTTTGCCATTGCCAGCACCAAGGATTTGGGGAGCCCGTCACTCTCCCTTGGGTTGCCCATACCCTCCGGCAGCCTCCAGGAGCTCCTGTCCCTGCCAGTCCCCAACATCCTCTCACCAGCCCTCCGTAAGGATTAACTCTGCGGGCAGCAGAGGCGGCAGGGAGCCCAGATCTGTCCGGGGCGATGCCCACCTGGAAGAGGTCTGGGGGCACCTGCTTCTTGCTCAGAAGGCTCTGGACGTGCTCCGTGGCACTCTTGGAGAAGGGCTGCAAGGCAAGATTGGATCATGCCACTCCTGGGCAGAGCGGACGGGGGTAGCAGGGACAGGCATTCCCAAAGGGGCCAGGGAGCGCTGCACAAGCTGGGGGGAAGCCAGCACCCCACCGCATAGGATCGGGTCTGTGGTGGTTTCAGCATCCCCTACAATGGAGCTGAGGGTGGTTTTGAAGTCCACCCCCGCAAGGAGACCGGGCAGCGCATCCCGTGCGCACACTGGGTACGTGGTCAGCCCCCTGCCCCAAGCACTCTGGGCACCCCACGCTGGGAGGGACACTCACATGGGAACAGGCCAGCAGCTCCTTCATGATGTAATGGTCAAAGATGTGGCGGCTCCGGGCGGCTCGGTCCTCCTCCGAGTCCAGCTTCTCATACTTCTTGATCTGGCAAGGGCCGAGCTCCCGTTGTCACGGGGCCACACAGCTCCCGGCACGCACCATGGGGCACAGGCGTCACCCCCACGGGGCAGGTGCAGCCCCGGGCAAGGCGGCTCCCTGTCACCTGGTGCTCCAGCAGCCACGTCCCCAAGCCCTCCAGCTATCACACAGCAGGCAAAACGGGGATCAGGTCCCCAGCACCCTTTGGTTATCACCTCTCCTGGGTACTGGGTGCCCTGTGTACCCTGGCTATCACACTCCAAGTGCCATGTCCCCTGGCTGCTCCGCGTGCCCTTGGTGCCATGAGCCCAGGACACGGAGGGCACAGCGGCTACTGCACACCCGGGCACTGCAGTTACCAAGTCTGGCTCCGGTGCCACCTCACACCCACTGAGACACAGGGCTCTGCCCGCGAATGTATCCCCATCTCACCTCCTCATAAAACTCCATGAGGGCTTTGGCCTCCTCGGCCTGGTTGAGGGCGAAGTCGCGGAACAGCAGGTACCCTGTGGGAGCAGACAGGCCGTGTCAGGGGC